AAAAGATATTTTTGTGTGCATGCATGTGTCTCAAGTTTCCTGTAGCAATGCACTTTCTCATAGTCGTCTCGGGTATCTTTGAGATCTCATGACATCTAAGACAACTAACAGTCTCCGACCGGGGGACAACAGTGCAAAAATTATGACTTCAACTCGGAAGGTAACACCGTACTGTTACCAAACTAGTTCCAACCGTCTCTTTCCATTACCTGCCAAGTAGGAGACCATGGGAAAGAGAATACAATATAACATGGGAGGTACTTTGTTTATATATTGGTTCTACTAATGTCCTTGTACACTTATAGTGTTGTTCTTAGCTTTGGGAAGTATGTGGGCCCTCCAGAACCATTGAACTGTTGCAGTCGGCACCATTCACTAAGAAATTTATATTAAATAAGTCGACATTTAACTTTTTCCGGTTTCAAGCTTCCATCTTAAGTGATCTAGAGAGCTTTAATCGAAACGAATCCTTGTTTTCATGGTTTCAGTGTCTTCACGCAACTCTCCTTCCCACATTGGTATGTTCTTTTGACCACAAACACAAAGGGAAAGGAATGGCCGGGGTTCGATTCTCAGCAGCCGTTTTGTGGGAAGGAGCGTTGCGTGACGACGCTAAAAACGACTGTGAAGCAGACTAGAAAGATCTAGAAAGAGGCGGGACCAGCCATGTTAAAGAAACACATTCAAATAAACTTAAAGGGGAAAAATATTATTGACTATTTAATTGTATCATTTTACTTCGCCGTATCGTAAAACATTATGGGTGCCTTTTTTCGTATATTTACCTGGTTGATGTATTAGCCACAATTAAATTCAAATTGACTTTGTCTGATACATTCCGTTTGAATATAACATTATATAAGTAAGTGCTAGGTTTTGCTTATTTTACCTTTCTAGTGTAAACCTACCTGTGTTTTGGCCAGTTCAGGAACCAGATCGTTCAAAGAGTGTTTGGAGAGTGTCACCTTTGATGAACGCTTGCTCCGAGGCTTCCACTCTGAAGAAGAAGCAAGTGCCACTCCCCAAATGTAAGAACATTCTCAGTTGATTAGTCTAACGACGGAATGAAATCATATCTAAAATATGGGTTGGAGCTTTGAAAACCGATCAACAATGTTTTATAGCAGAAAGAAATCGGTGTTGACAAAGCCGATGCATGGCTTAATGATTCAAACGGACTTGAGTCTCTCCATTTAATATATGATTTTCGCCGCTCCCTTCGCCGCCGAATCAAGAATCCCGCCAGTTACGCAGGCTGGACGCGTCACGTTCTGATCAACTTGGGCATGAAGTTAAAAATTATTATTATCTACGCTTTCCAAGAGAATTTACAACTGAAATGTTGTCTTTTACACTCGTATGGTAACTGAAAAATTTCAATTAACAAATTTGACTCAAAATTTTCGATCACGCGCGTCATACCAGTTTCGTAAAGTAAATTAAAGGAATTATACACAGAAATTTAGGCCATTGAAGAGAGCTGTTATTTTCTTATAATTTTTGAATACTAAAAAGTTGTTTTGAACACGCATATCGACAAAAGGACTTCTTGATTTTGACATTTTGCGTCCTCAGTATAATTCGACAGTAGCCAGTGGGGAAGATATTATTATTATTATTATTTTTGAAAGTAAATTATATTGTATTTGTGTAGATCAGTTAGAAATTTCTTTGTCTGTCCATGACAGCTTAGCATAAAAATAAGAGTTTATGCAAATCTTTATTTTTAAATGATAATTTCCCCCCAAAGTTCAAAGCGTCCCCAACGTATTTAATTATTTATTTTTGACCTTGTTTGGCCAATTTTTGTGTTCTGAGTGTACTTAATTTTTCCCTATACGAAACTTTTGAATTTTACATTTTAAACAAACAAGTTCATCGATTAATAGTAAAAGCAGACTGTTGCGAAAATTGCTTTTAGTTTTTTGAGTCAAAATGAGCACGTTAGATTAGGTACTAAAGCCATGTCATAGCAGAGAGCGTCTTTAAAGTCACCGTCCTCCGTTTTCAGTAATTTTCAATTGCTTAAAATTGCAATTACCACTGCGACGATCATATCTTCTTTAAAAGTGCCGTAATTGTTTTCGGGTTAATTTTCAATTTCTTGAATTGCAATCATGACCATTGCGACGATCATATCCTCATTTTAGAAAAGGAAGTTTTAGCGGTACATATGTAGCCCCCAACGTCGATCTCGGTGATTCACTGTACCGTGCATTTACAGTAAAATAACGATAAAGATAGAAGAATTTGTAGCCCAGTGTGCCCAGTGTATTGTAGGCGTTTCCTTTGGAGTGCGAATTATACCGTTCTGCTCGCATAACGCCATATTGAACTATAAGAAATAGGCGGGAGTTGGCCCCCACTTACTCCATCTTCTGTTTTCGCCCTAAGCGATCTATTCCAAGGGATGCTGCTCTCCCCAATTGCAATCTTTCTCAGCAACAAAATCAAATTCAAGATAGCAGCCACGGCATTACGAACGTAGGCAACATAAAGATAACAAGCAGCTTTCGCCCGCTCCCAAAAATACAGCTGCATTGCAGGCATGATCTGAGAAATAAATCAATCTCTCGAATAAAGGCCCCCTTCTTTTCGTTTGGCGCTGTGGCGTGGATGAATTGACCGCAGCGCCAGGTACTTGTTTGTAGGCTTGTTTTTAGTAGCTCAGAATTGTTTAAAAAATGTCAGTGGAATCTTAAAAATGGTAGTCTGGCGAACTTGCTCTGTCCTATCGGTGCAGAGAGGGTCAGATGAACTGTACATGTAATGATCTTTTCTGTCGATCGCGATTGCCCACCGTAGATAGAATTTTTCCGCCAGGGGCACCCAACGACTGTTTTCTGTAAAATATATCTGTTTGGTGAAGAAAATATCGCCTTGAATTTTGTATGCTTGAATAAAGCTAAAAATTTCTAGCGTTTCATTTAGGAACAATTTTTAAAGCTTATCTAAAAAATTCCCTACGATTTTCTGAAGTATAAATTTTCACATTTTACTCCCCATGTTAGCCTAGTTTTCGTAGAAAAAGGATACCTTAAAATTTCGGATTCAAAAATAATGATGGATTGAGGAATCACAAAAATTGTCAGTTTCGTAAAATGTTCAATTCCATCTAAACTTTTCGGGAAAATAACACAGAAGCCCTTGTATTTCGAAAAGCCTCAAGCTCCCCTAGGATGAGAGAACAGAAACAAATTTTACAGCGCCACCTAGAATGCATTTCTAGAGATCTAAAAGCACTCCGGATAGCCTAAAAAGACTTTTCAATGTATTTGGGAAGAAACCGCCTTTGGGTGCGCTGTTAACCGGCAGTGTATGGCAATGGGGTTCGGTTTTCACCAACATAGAATAATGGGAAAGATAGCGTATCTTGGGGCGTTGGCCGGGATATGTGAAATTCACTTAAGTTATTTTTAGAGGTTGTAATTAAACAAAAGCCTTATTCTTGAGACGACAGCACATTTTAAAAGATTGATTGAAACTTCACGAAGCCCTCGTGCGACTGCCTCAAAGCAAAAAATGCAGAATATTGTAATGACGACTGTTGAATTCTCTAGTGAAACACTGAATGAAAGTTTGTGGACATCTCCGGAAATAAACCTCTCCATTAATTTCAAGCATTTAATTGGTCCCCAAGGGCCGTGATACTGGGCGTTTACCTCTCTATCCCTTTATTCTCTGACTCTTGGTTTCACTACACTTTCTCGTCAAAAGTACAGACTGCATAATCATCTGAATTTAAAGTTCCCAGGGCAGTGTTTTTAGCCTGCATAGAGACGTTTCCTATAATTGCTCTACACGCGTAATGAACAATGGAAACTGGAGGCTATTAGAGGAAGCTTAGTCTTTTGAGGTAAATCTACATGACTATCATTCCCACTTTAAGCCATAAAAAACTGACCCCATCGAGTAAACTTCTGCCCTCAATTTCAGGGCCGTCTTAAAACAGCAAGTTTTAAAAGCGCAAAATTCGAGGCGAAAAGAGAGACAAGTCGGGACAGCCCCGTCGATCTATTGAGATAAATAACAAAAAAGCAAAGAGAAAAGCGACTTGAGGTTTCCCGATGTTTCGGACGGACAAGCCGTCCTTTTTCAGGGGATTTAATGAAGAATCGGAAAGTCGTTTGTAGTTACAATTCAAATGGCATAGACGAGAAGCAATTGGAAATTTGATACTGACAAAGGTAATGAAAAAAAATAAACGGGCCAATAATGAGAAACGATTCAGAAAAAATGAGATAGTTTGGTAACTGAATCGTTTCTCACTATTGGCCCATTTAGTTTTTTACATTACCTTTGTATCAAATTTCCAAATTGCTGGAATATCCCAGGAAAAAGTTATAAAACAAGCACATAGACCCTTTGCGTTCCCCTCAAATCTTCACCCGTGCCGTCCTCATACATTGTCGTGCTACCACTGAACAAACAGACGAACAAGAGATCATTTTTAGCCGTTTTATGATTTCAGCATTTCAGTACTGGTAACAGCAGTTTAATGACAAAATTAGGCTAGATGACCACAAATGAGTTCGTCTACATGGCACAGTCCTTTTAAAACTGTTGACTGAGTAACTCCAAAGAACTTGAAAAAAAACAAAAATTTCAGTGAAATTCGCCTCTTAAAAAACGTTTTACCTAAGCGCATCATTTGATAACAGTTTTACAATGTTGGCTTGCATAGTTTTCAAACGTTTGCACTACTTATAGGTTGTACTGAAGTCAAAGTGAACTGAAAATAAGCTTTGGAATTCATTGTTTAGAAGTAGCAGTTAATGTTGGTTTTTGAAGTGTGAGTGTGCTGAATATCGAGGTTGGTTTATTTGGCATTTCAGTTGTTTGTTTATTCTTGTGCAAAAGTAAAACTCGCTTGCCAAGAACTACCCTAACTTGTCATCGTCTACGTAAAGCAAAGCGTTCTTGATCAGCATTTTTTAAACCCAGCACCTGCTGATCACATAATGAGCTTAATATTTCTCAGATTTCAGTGATGGGATAAGTTACCAAACGCCTGCTGTCCCAGGCGTACAACACTCTTTCTTTGGGTTGTAGTCCACCATGGAGTTGTAGCCGTACTGATTGGTGAACTGAATGTTGGAGTTCCATGAACACCCAGTCTTGGTATCGAAAGCAAAGTTGATGGTTGTGGACTTTGAGTTATAGCTGTCGTTACAGTAAACCACTCCACAGGCCATAAACGCATTTCCCATTGACCTCATATTCTCGAGCTCTGAAATATAACAAAAAAAGATGAAAAGTGAACATAATGAAACTGCGTGTCCAATAGTAGACTACATTCGCTAAGATAATGCTGACTTGCGAAATAGAATACTGATTCTGTGTAAAATGGATGGGACTGGCACTAATGACACGTATCTCGAGAAGGACGGAAAAATGTGATGATTCACTCACTAACAGCAGGTTACAGAAATATAGGGCATCGGTATACAGGTCCGTATAATGATTAAGAAAACCAAGTAAGATACAATCCAGAAACTGGTGAGATATTAGAAATTTATGATCCACCTACAGGAAAAACAGATACCGTGGCCATGCAACATGATGTTGATTACTCAGTTTGTGGTGATAATAAAAAGTGCAAACATAAGGCTGATAGAAAAATGGTAAAATCATTGGACTCCGTACCTTATAGTGAAAGACAATGGGGCCACTGGTTAGCTAGAAATCTAATCGACGCAAAGCAGAAACTCGGATTCGGTTTAAACTAAAAAAGCCGTCGGGTGTAAGTTGGCAACAGCAATTAGCAGACGAATTACATAAACCCATAAAGCGCAACTTTACTCGGCGGCGCGTTATTGTAAACGGTATCGACAAAATTTGGTGCTCTGATCTGGTTGAAATGCAATAGTTCAGCAAATGGAACAAAGGTTACCGATATCTTCTCATGGTATTAGATCTGTTCTCCAAATATGGCTGGATTGTTCCATTAAAGGATAAAAATGGAGAAACTGTCACAGAAGCATTCAAAACCATCTTCAAAGAGGGCCGTAAACCACAATATCTATGGACTGATAAAGGAAAAGAATATTATAACAAACATATGAAGGAACTGTTGGAAAAGAATGGCATAACACTATACTCAACCGAGAATGAGGAAAAATCTACTGTTTGTGAAAGATGTAACCGTACAATTAAAACCAAGATGTGGAAGGAATTTACTGTCCAGGGTAATACCCAATATCTTGACAAACTACCAAAAATACAGAGCCAGTGTAATAACACCCACCAAACACAGTTCCATTAAAATGACGCCTGTAGAAGCTAGTAAAAAGAAGAATGAAAGTACCGTGTATTTCAGTCTATATGGTGATAGGGGGCAATTGTCATCTAAGCCTAGGTTCAAAGTTGGTGATAAAGTTAGGATAAGTAAGTATAAGAGACAAATATTTGACAAAGGATACACACCTAATTGGACTGAAGAGATATTCCTGGTTGATTAAAGCCAATCCACAAACCCAATGAACTACAGATTAAAATATTTCCCCGATTCTGACCAGCTAAAAGCACACGTTTAATTCACCATAACCAGTTACTGATGACCAAATATGGAAGAATTTTGTGTTTAACGAGGAAATGACGTCAAAAATGCAGCGTTCGTGCAGGTCAAGGCACCGTTAACCGAGAAGGCCTGGGGACGAGGTTGAGTTGTTTTAGTTGTGGAAACAAAAATGGCGGTCGTTTCACTCGTTTCAAGAGTAAGAAGTAGGCGAAAAAATAGCTAAAAACATGGCAAAGACAGCAAGAAGACAACTCGAAGGGTGACATCTGCTATTTGGAGAATATTTGCTTAGCTGGACAAACCTAAACGTGCACTATCGAAGATGACCTTAACATCGATGGATCGATAGAGGTAAGCATGTTTTAGCCATGTTTTTAAACTAGGAATTATTTTGAATTAATGAATAATAAAACAATTATTGAATTCGGCTTTCGTATCATATAAAGAATTATAGAGATCTCTGAGGGTGTTATCCGCCTCGGCCTACGGCCTCGACGGATAACACCCTCCTCGCTCTCCATAATTCTTCATAAGATACTCAGCCTCATTCATTAATTGTTAATTAATATATATTATATGTAATGGTGTATATGTTGGAAAAGAAATATTTCAATCAAGATATGAACTTAACATCAAACTGACTTCGTATATTGATGATAAGCAAAATTTTTAGTTCCGTGGTATGGACGTTGCAAACATACTTGGCTATAGCAATACAAGAAAAGCCATATGGAATCATTTTGATAGCGACGATAAACAGCAAATATTCACACATCATACCAGCCTGCCCAAAATGGGTACAGTAGGTCCAAAGTGTTGGGGCCCTGAAACGAGGTATCAACAAAATAATTCTTGGGGTCCCAAAATGGGTCCGATAACAAAACCTGGTGTCACAAATTGTGACGGCAGGCCTCAGACCTGGGGCCCTGAAACGGAGCGTCAGACCTGGGGCGTCAGAACGACACCTCAGGGTAGTTTAT